AGCTTCCCGTGGTGAAGCCGGTGTCGGCAGGAGGTTTTGGCAGGGTGGTGGCCGTCACCGTTGCTCACCCCGCCGCTGTCGTGGTCCTACCTGTGCCGGGGTACGGGGATGTACGCCGAATGCAGCGCCAGGCATCGCTCCAGCCCGGCGTCCAGCACCCGCAGCATCGCTTCCCGGCTGGCCGGCTCCCGGCGCGGCAGCGGCTCCCCCAGATGTGGCAGCCAGCCCTCGGCTCCCGCCGGCAGCCCCCGGCCGCCGCAGGGGAGAGGAGCCTGCGGGAGAGACGGCGGGTCGGTCGTCAGCAAGGGATTCCCCGGAGCACCGGATCCCGCGGGGATCTCCCCGACTTCGGCGGGGAGGGCTCGGCGGCCCAGGGGAACCGACGCGGCGCCTCCAGGCGGGGCTGCGGCAGGACCCTGCCAGCCACTCGGTGGGTCCCTCTGGGGTAGATCCCAGGTGGATCCCACCAGGTCGGGGCTGGGATCCAGCAGGGATCCCCCCCCGGTGCTCCGCAGAGGCGAGAGCAGCCAGCATCCTCCTGCGAGGTTGCTCCCAGCGCTGTCACCCGCTGGCTAAGCATCGGCAGCCGGTGGATCCCTCCCCGGGTGGATCCCCAGGGCCGCAGTGGGGATCCACCTGGGATCTCCGCAGAGCCGGGAGAGAAGACCTGACACCCTCCTGCAGGGTGGCTCCAAGGTGGCAGCACCCGTGTGCCACGTGCCAGCACCAAGCGGATCCCTCTCTGAGCAGATCACCCGGGATCCAGCAGGGATCCCCACAGAGCTCTGCGGAGCAGGGAGCAGGTTTGGCCCTGCCAGCCCATTCGGAGAGAGCAGCACCCACGGACTGAGCACCGGCACCAAGTGGATCCCGCTCCAGGCGGATCCCAGGTGATCTCCCTGGGGCCGGGGCCCCGCGGGGATCCCCCGAGAAGCAGGGAGCAGCCCTTCCCGTGGGGCTGACCCAGATCAGCGGCATCCGCCGGCCAAGTCCGGTCACCAGGTGGATCCCTCTACGAGCCATGCCTGGGCGGATCACCCCGGGCTCAGATCCAGCTGGGATCTCCCCGGAGCCTGGCAAAGGAAGGAGCCGACTCGGTGCGCGCCTCAGGGCTGCTTCAAGCCAGCCGTGTCCATTGGCCGACTGTCAGCACCAAGCGGATCCCTCCGGGCCAGATTCCTGGAAGATCCCAAAGGGTCGGGATCCAGCTGGGATCCCCCTGGAGCGCTGCAGAGCGGGGAGCAGATGGGGTCAGCTCCAAGAGATCGCTGTCCTCTGGCTGTGCGGCAGCGCCGAGCAGATCCCTCTCCAGGCAGATCACAAGCAGATCCCACCGGAGTCGGGCTGGGATCCCGCAGGGATCCCCCTCAGCTCTGCAGAAGCCGACCGGGTTGCTCCGGGACAGCAGTGCCGCCTGCCCACGCACCGGCACAAGGCAGATCCCTTTCCAGGCAGATCCCAAGCGGATCCTCAGGAGCAGAGCCGGGATCTAACAGGAATCCCCCCCCCCAGCTCTACCGAGCAGGGACCAAGGCAGGGCTGTCCTCCCACAGCAGCACCCGTGGGTGGGCTGAGCGGATCCCTCTCCGGGCAGCTCCTGAGTGGATTCCCCAAGGCTGGAATCCAACAGGGATCACGCTCCAGGGAGCCGAGCGGGCCGCTCCAAGGGAGGAATATTCACCAGCACCAAGACGGAGCAGCCCCCTCGCTGCTGACAGACCCCCCCCCACGGACCCTTATGGAACTGGGACCACAGAAGGCGAGCCCAGTGAGT